TATATATATATATATATGACTATGTTCCAGTTACATACAAATTTGAATATTAAATACACTGTATTAAATCAGTGAGAATCTGACCCTGCAATCCTCATTGCAAGGGTAACGTATGACTTCAAAAGGACAGCTTGAGGAGGAAAGGATTATCCCTGTTTGTTTGTTCACAGGGTCAGATCAGTTGTTATTTTAAATATTTCTTTAATGATTGCTGTCAATTTGGGTTTCCTGAAATCATTACTCAAATTAGGTGATTTCAAACAAAAATTGGAACAAGTGTTTTCAAGTTCATCTTGAATGAAGATTATGAAGTATTCTCACACAGAAAAAGTAGCAAAATACAGTACAAACCTATTAACACGAAAGTTGAATTTGAAAGATACTTTGCTTGTTAAATTTATTATATGAATACTGATAAATGGTCAATATCAGCAAAGAACATGAAGATTTTTTGCATTGGCTACTGCAGACATTTACACAGATACTAAACAAGATAACGTAGACATGTAGACAAGGTGAAATGAGACAAATATTGCACTGCTTTACCTGTGCTAGTTTGAGATGAAAGACAAAAGTTACAAGGTCAAATAATTTATATTCAGTGGTTGTGGCACTCCTTTCATTCATTTGTAAAAAAAATAATCGAAGAACAAGTCATAGACACGTCTCCCGGTCAACGCCTTTCCCTGAGTCAGCTTTCTTCTCTTTTCTGATTTCAGCACTAGGAGAGAAGGGGGAAAAAAAGAGTTACAACAGCACTATCATATATATTAACGATCTACCCGAAAACCAACATTGCACTGATATTTTCATTAATTTTTCATGCTGCATAGCACAAACTGGGAAGCAAGTGAAAGTTTCTGTGCTGAATGGTGCAGAAGACATCAGCCAGCATTTTAGTGACAAGGTAGGTACAGAACTTCAGATGTACAGACAGACAAGTCAGCCAGCATGCAAGCAAAGGTAGCCACTTTTTTTCTTTTCCCTCTTTTGCCAAATACAACTGTTAATTGATTAAACAATGGTAATGGTACGGTTCTCAGACAATCCCAGCATTAGCTTAAATGGCACAAACAAGAGATCACAATAAGTATTTCTTGTCTTTAAAATATATTCTGTTGCTTAATGTACATTTATAAAGAATGTTGCTGAACTAGAGCAGTGCAAGCCAATTTCCAGCTGTAATATTGGCTTTCAGTCTTGAGTGGGGAGAGCAGGAGAAGGCTGGGGTGAGAGGAGTGACAATATTCCCCATTTGGAGCTTAATACATAGTTCTTCACGTATACATTATAAGCAAATAACTTTTTTTTTCAAAAAAAAAGCATGAAAGATCATACAAAAGCCATATCACTTAAGAACTCTGAAGCAGAGTTCAAATTTGGATTCAGCTTTTTTCCAGTTAAAACACTGTTGATTTGCCTACAGAAAGCAATATATGTGCAAAAGAGATGATTATTTTTTCTGAAGAGGGTCCTAATTTACAACAGCACAAAGAAATAAAAAGTCATGTTCTTGCAATGAGTTTCAATCACACTACAAAAATGCAAAGAGGCTTCCACAACACAGGCAAATCAAGTCTTCAACAAAGAGTGGCAGGGTATCCAAAAAAAAGAGATGGTTCTGAGAACAAACCTGTATCGAGCACATAACCTACCAGGTTTCATGGGAATAATTCCTTAACTAGAATGAACAAGAAATAGGCTGAGTTACACAAGGCTTAAAGAAAGCAAGATCAATTCTCAAATTCTTAAGGTGATTCATGCACAATTTTACAATCATCTGACATTTTTCTTCACATAAAAATTGCTTTAAGGCTACAATTCAGTTCAGCCAAAGCTTACTTCTATGCCTATGGCAGCTTCCAGAGGTGTTAATGGAAATAGCTAAAGAATACCAACTTCTGCCACTTCAACTGCCAAATCTGTCACCTTCTGTAGAACAGTGATAGAATTGGGTATGTTACACTTTCTGCACACAAAGGGTATGCAAACAGATTCCTGGGGGGGTAAATTTAAAGTACAGCAGGCAGAGAGTTACCTGGGCTTAGTAAAAGCAAACACTGAGGATGTGTTGTGTGCCTTACAGTCTATAATATTTCCACGTTTTAGGTGCCTCTGTGATACCAGGAAAGTCTTCCTTCTATTTAGGATTCACATCTCTGAGCATCTCCTGCAGATGTGGGCTTTAATGCCTTGAGAAATTTGGGGAAAAAAAAAAAAAGGACAAGTCCAGTCTTTTACCAGTAAAGCACATAACTGGTGGATCTGTGAGGGACCTGGAGCTCTCTTCCTCCCTGCCAAGGAGCAGTCTAACAAGCCTGAGAAGGAAAGTTTGGGATGTAGGCTTTGCATATCTTCAGATAGAGAAGAGAACTCATACCATCTACAAAGTGACAGATGCCTCTTTCTGCATATGTTTTGAAATTGCTATCTGAAGGGCTTAATACTATAAGCCCTACAAGACAAAGGAATATTTACATGTACCAAAGAGGGCTATGTTTCAGATAGGTGCCCTGGTGTTCATGTCTACCAAGAGGCTCAAAAGCAAATGTTTAGGAAATTTAATAATGAAAAATTAAGGTTGAAAAGTTGTAAGGTTCAGGTGCATCTATGGTTAAGCAGCAGTTGACTAAGTACATCGCATTTAAATCCCCTCTTTAGACACTTAAATACTGTTGTGAGTCAGGGATGTAAGAACTGTCACCCACTATACTAGTTCACAGAGCCGGGGCAGGACAGAGCTCATGATAGCTACTATCCATGCATCAGTTTTTTTTGTATAAACCCTTCCTGTCTAAAATCCCTCTTTGGAGGTGACCTTAGTTTATTATTGGCCAGTCTTTCACTGGCCAAGTCAACTCAGTATGTAATTAGTACAAAGAACTTCCAGATTTTATGTATTCCAGAAATCGCCCTATGTTGTTAATCGATCAGTGCCTTACACAAAAGGCATTACATGGAATCACAGTACAGTATCATAATATAACTATCCCCATTTAATAATATTTTGGGATATTAGTATAAGAAAGTAGACCTGACAGCAGGAAAAGGAGTACCAAACACTTCTGTAGTTGAACTCCAAAAGGCATCAGTAAAATTAATTTCAAAATAATGTGATTCTTTTTTCCCCTATGGTTAGATACCCTTCACTGAAGGAAACTGGGTAATATAATACTGGTGAGCTTGATCATTTGCAAAAATTATCTTTATGACTGCTACCATTCCAAGCTTTCTTTTTTCTCAGTACTTACCTAGGGATTGAATTATACCTTCATGTAATGATACAGGCATTTAGGAATATAATGTTTCTTTAGCTCTAATATGATTTAAGATTAATGTTTTCTATGGTTTTTCTTATCAGAAAACAAGCCTTCCAGGTTTAAAAGTTCTATGAATCTACTTCTGTCTGGGAATCTGAGACAAGCTAGAGCACATGAAAAAGCAGGATATCAGATTCTTTAAGAGGTTGTTCCTTTAGAACAGGACACTCATACCTAAAATTATACCTGTAATCCCTTAGTTACTTTTCACCGGAGTCTGTTTTCATGAGCAAAGATACAAGAACAGATTGAAAATGAGCTCATTAGAAAATGAGTTTCTATTTTGCTGCAGTGGAAAGGCCAAATCATCTTTTACCGATGTTGTCAGAGCCACAGTCTGTGTGAATGCTCTTTGCTCAAAGAATCTTTGAAAAATTCAGGTAAAAATAGTACAGGTTTATGTAATCTATCATACCATCAAAGAAAGCAACATCCACCAGAAAAATTGGAACTATTGCATACCCAGTGGCTGTGAATGTACCACAGCAGTTTCTTCTCTTTCTCCAGGCTTTCACAGCCTGGACACAGAGGCACATAAGGTAAGAAAACCCTGCTGTACATCCTCCTCCCATGCACCACACTGATTTCACTGTGCCAGGATCCTTTTCAGCCCATGTTGAGGGTAGAAGGAAAATCAGAACTACACTGATGTTTTGACTGTCAGTGAAATAGCATTAAAATTATCACATTAGTGGCCTGCTCCAGGGGTGTCTGAAATGAAGATTCTCCAGTCACCAGCTGCCCATCTTGTTTATGCTGTTTAGGGAAAGGAACAACACTGAAAGGTGGCATGCCATTTTGGGGTGACAAAATTTAAAAATGTATTTCACTACAAAATTTTTTCTCTTGCTGCATCTTTTCATCATAAAACAATGACTAGCTGTTTCAAACATGGATCTTGGTTTGAAAGCTATATTTAGAAATGGGCAGAATATAAAATTCTGTTTTTAAAAAGTCAAAGAATTAATGAAAAATATCTAGGAAGTTGTGGATGCCCCATCCCTGGAGGTGTTCAAGGCCAGGCTGGATGAGGCTTGGAGCAACCTGGTCTAGTAGAGGGTGTCCCTGCCCATGGCAGGGGGGTTGGAACTTGATGATCTTTAAGGTCCTTTCCAACCCAAACCATTCTGTGATTCTATTAAATTCAATTTAACATTTAAATAGACTACATCTACAGTTTCTATTTTTAATACACAATACATTTCAAATTTTAATATTAAGGACTTTGATGAAGACTTTTTTTTTTCCTATGTGACTTTTCATTCTGTCTCCCCAAAAATTACACAAAGTCATTTGGGTTCCTAGGTGACACCACTTTGAACTGGAAGATATAATCAAGGAAAACGTTGGAGGACAGGGTCTTACCTTTGGGGAATCAGCTTCTAGAATGATTAGGAAGGGGAGCTTATGACAAAAATGCGATATGAAACAATTAAGTAGTTATATATAGTTAAAAATAGTTAAAATTTGTGGAAACAGAGGAAAATCTCTTTTACAATCACACTGTGCTTGTGTTTAATATTTTTTTATTCTCATAATAACTCTGTAGCACAGAAAAAACACTTGCTTCATTTTACATTTGTCTGGACTAAATTTTCAAAGTATCTAATTGTTCTGAGTACAAGCGAAGTAGGCACAAAAATGAAAAGAAGTGATGCAATCTTAAAATTATTTTCACTCCAAATATTAGTAGATTGTATTCAGGGTACTGGGCTCTTCATATAGATATTTCCAGGGCACTGGTGACCATTTCTTTTTCAAGAGGAAAGAACCAAAACAAGCAGAACACAACAGCTGTTGTGCAATATCCAGGTCTAAGTTGGTGGTTCATTACACAAGCATCAGGCATGCTCAACTTTGTTTTCCACTGTAGCATACCTAAGTAGCATAGCTAAGTAGCATGCAAATATTTGTGATTTTTAAAAATAAATTTACATAGTGAATTTATGTTTTGAGCTCAAAATATTACGAGTGGACATAAATAAAAGGAAACCTCAAGAAATAAAACTGCAAGAAATCTTTCTGATGCCTAGCAAAATATTCTAATATTGGTTTGATACCAACATAGAAAGTATAATGTAGTAAAAAAAAAATTAAAACCTTTTAGAAGGAAAGCTTGACTCCTTATCTTTTGCATTCTCTGAGGATATTAACAGTGTTTTCCACACAGCAGTTTTTGCCATTTCGTCAGAAATGTTTATCACAGATGGGTCATCTCTAGGCAAGAATGAAAGTAAATAAACAATAAAACAATGAGCAATCAGTTTTCATTACTTATTAGCTTTACAAAAGTCCCTGAAATCTGATAGTGATGACAATAAATAAGTGCAATGTAAGTTAAGAAATTATGTTAAACTTCAAAAATCCTGAACAATTACCTCAGTATTCTCTTAAAACATCTTAGTATTTTTTTAGTATTTTGCTCTTCCAACAGCAATTAATCACAGTAACATCAGTAAAATACATTGTTCCACTTCCAACTAATAGACAAAGAAAAATGAAGAACTGTGAAATTAAATATTGCCCAACATCTCACAGCATGCCAATGGCATAGTTGGATTAAACAATAATCCTAAGAGCTCCTAACAGTTCTCAAAGTATTTATGCTCTGAAACTTCACCTACTTTTTAAACAATTTTAAAAGCAACCAAAAAACCTTGACAAAGACAAAGAATTAAGAGATCTGATCAAAATGTCCCAATTAAACAAGGTAATCGGTAGCTCTAAGCAGCAGTTTGTAGCCATTATGCCCTTAGCTTTACCTGGACTGCTCCAAATATGTATTTATATACTTAAGAATAATAAAGCCTTAAGTGTTTTAAGGGCCTGCCTGTACATTATTCTTGGCTCCATGCTTTACATATGGCCTGACATTCAGTAAGCCCATGGTAAACTTGTTTTCACTGTGGTTTGGGGAACCACTTTATCAACCAATGTCTTGACTCCTTTTTAGCTGTAGGACTGTGACCCCTACAGTAGAGAAAGTCAGATATTATCCAGGCAACTTTACCTAGGTAAACACCCTATAGATCAATATAGATCACACCTCAAGATAAATTAAGCTAAGTACTGCTAATATAAAATAGAACCTAAAGGTAGGGACAAAAGAAGAAAAAAACAGACCGTTAGAAGTGTGATGATCAGAAGTAAGAAATAGGCTGGGATTTTTCAGAGACACAGTTATTTGCCTTAGGAGACATTATGGTAATTTCATGTTAGAATGTAAGAGGAGGCCACTCTAAGATAATGTTCCTGTGAACTCAGCAGTAATGCAGAGGTTACTATCAGCAGATATTTCAAATATTTTTTAAGAAATTACTTTCTGAAGACTGTAAATGAGAGACCTTATAGGCTGGTCATGTGTATTATTACTAGCTATAACAGGTTTCCATGCTTTTTAAGTTGTGTCAGCGCTGCATTATGCCTCATCTACCCTGGACAGCTCTTGATCCACTTATTATCTCACACAGATAGGATCTTAATTAGAATGTTTTAAAATGTAATACTGTAAGAACCTAATTTTTCTGGGGTGTTTTCAAAACCTTTCCTGGCTCCCTGCTAGCATCAGGGTGAAGGGTTTGATCTGCTCTATATCCTCCTTTCGTGCTGCCAGAAGCCAAGGTTCATTATGAACAACCTGATCCCGCAGTCCTGCCCAAGGGAAAACTTCAAGTAGTGTGTCCTTTTCCTAGGGACTGTGAGATCACATGGAAAGACTAGAAAAGGGTTGAGCTTGTTAAATGCTGCTTGTATATGGTTCGGTTCCCTTATCTGTACTGTACTACCAGACAAACATCCTCCTAACATTCAGTAAGCATTAAGAATAAATAGTGGCATGTTCATTTTATTTGTTTAATTGCAACTCACCTAAAAGAGGAAAGGTATATTTTACCTGTAATGTCCTTCTAGTGGTAACTGAACAGTCCCCTCCTCTTCCATTGCTAACATACTTTGCTCTTCCTAGAAGGAAGGGATGTAGACATGAGACAGGATATGATGTTGTAAAAAGTGAAATTTATACACTTAACCCTTTTTCCCCATTTCTTAAGTATTTATTTGAAGTTCTTAAAGTAAGATACTTTTCAACTCTTTTAATTTAAATATTTGACATTTAAAACCCTCTATTTTAAAAGATGTATCTTCACTTAATGTCATTTTTCAACGCCAAATAGAGGAGACACTTTTGTAACAATAAAGAGAAAAATCAGTATCACTGAGTGAGCAACTGTGGTGAATTTTAAATATCGTGCATAACAGGATATATACATTGCAATGTCAACATGCAGACATTAGGGAAAACAGATTTAAATTTGCACATAGTTTTAATACCGATAAAGTTTTATTGCAGTGAAAGGTACTGAAACAATACACCAAATTAGTTTTCACTTGAAAAAACTTCTGAGTAACAGGAAGTGAACTAAGAGACATATCTACCAAGAATCTTTTTGTCAAATGTTTACAGATCTAGAAAATCTGTCTTGGGGGGAAAGGAGAACAGAACAGCACCCCTCTAGCACCACGTTCTGCCTGCAAGAACAAAGGAAAAGAAGTTTCTGTCTTTCAGCCATCAGCTCAAGCCTCCACGGGAAGATTCTCAAGGCTCACACCCCTGTTAGGTCAGGAAAACCACAGCCAGGAGGTTAACGCGCCTTCACATGAATGTAACCATCAAATCCTGCCCTAAGCTGTTGTACTGTATGTATATGAGCATAACAGACAGCTAGAGACCTCCATGTCGTTCTTCCCTTTGTTAGATGGCTTTGTAACAGTTTACCCTGGTGTCTGAAACTGTGAGTTGGCTCTCACAAAAAGAGCAGCTTACCATTTTCTGGCAGATCACCCAAAACCCGACATGCATCACACACATTGATAAGTTGGTCTTAGCTGGAAGAGCCATTACAGTTTTCCAAAATAGTAGAATTTTAGTCCTCTCTGCACAGAAATTTGTTTCTTCTATGTTTTACTATTACAGCTATTTTAAAAGTCACAACATTTTTTTCTTCAAATGGGAGAAGTCACTTTGTTCACTCCTGTCTCTCAGAAAGACTTAATGGATTAACATCAAAGTGGCTGCCAGAGGAGGCCTGTGAGAAGAAGGCATATATAATATCCACTATAAATGTACAAAGCCTTGGAAAAACATGGCCTAAAAATATAAAAACCATTTAAGTGATGAAATTAGGACCAACCAAATAAGTTTCAGATCTTGTCAACTATATTTCTGAATATTCTTGTGGGTAGAATACTTCTATTTTTAAAAGCCGTGTGATCACAACTCACCAATTAATTCCTTAGGCTACATGTCAGAAGTTTTATTACTAGTTAATTTTGTCATTTCCAGGCTTCACAGCTTCATAAGTTTTTGACAGTTAAACAGTTTTAATAATAGCTCCAAATATTTAGAAATGCCAAAATATGTAAAAATAACCTCTCAAAATAGACAGTGAATGAAATAAAGTAACACCAGTAGATTTTCCCAGTTTTGTTTCCTGATGCCATCCTATCAAGCCTGGGAAGGAAAGTGACAATACAATCAAAGGCTAACAAGGAATTCTTTCCAATAACCAGACCCCCAAGAAGAGAGCTACCTTGGTTACTTTTGGTTACTCTGAATTGTGATGACAAACAGATACTGTGATGAAACAACTCTCTGGTCTGCTTCGATTCAAGAGAGAAAACAATGACTCACATATTTCAATTTCAGCCTCGTAGTTTTACAGGCACATAGTAAATAGTCATCATGATGTTTATCACCTTTTCTCCAAAACATTCTATGAAAGTATGTTGAATGTGTCAAAGAAAGCAAAGTTATAGTTCTTCAGGCTACAGATGAGGCAGTGATTTGTCAAAGGTCACAGAAGAATCCTAAAGACAGAGAAATCTATTTTTTTATAGTTACATGTTCAAATTATTAGCTCATGTTCTATTTCTGCTAATAGACTTGCCAATGGGAATCTTTACACACACCATTTCACTGGTCTCAGATCACATCTCAGGGCATCCCTAAGGATATATTGCTGATCTATGCATTCCCGTTGTTTAGTTTTTGCAGTACCTCTGTACCACCAAAAGGCTGTGTCTCACAGGGGTCCCGGGCTTTTGCAGAGCTCTTCAGGGCATCTTAGAGGTCATATGCACAAATGTCCCCAGAGCAGTCCTGCCTAGAAGTGACCACAGCCTGCCAACACCATGTGGCATCATCTGCACCTTCACCTCCCACTGCCACCACAGCCTCACACCATGTTACTATTCAAAAGTGCTAGCACAAGACATACAACTCCCATTTAAAATAATCCGGCACCAATGTATTCTACCTACTGTTCCTGCAGTTAGTGTTTCTCCTCTGAGGTTTGTCCCTCATTTATTTGGGCCCAGTAATAACATTCCCTGACAGTTAACATTGATCAGGGGGGCTGATATCAGGGACAAAGGACAAAGACCTCTGTCCCTTACACATAAAGTTACTTTATATTCCCAAAGCTTTATATTATATTCAAACAAGCTATTAATGAAGCAGCAGCCAGATGAAAATGCTATCAAACAGATGCAAACCTGGTTAGAAATCTACAATCAGAAAGATCAGTGTTTCACTGTCAAAATACAAAAGCATTCTGAGCGGAAATATGTAAGAATCTGTCCTGTATCAAGTTTATAAGAAATTATCCGAGATGCATATTCTTTGAGAGGAGACGAGGAGTCCAGATCTGAAACAGCCAACTGGATGGTAACACCACAGGCTGAGAATTTGGTTAACAGGGGTAAGCAGCGGCAGTGACCTGTTCATTAGAAAGTGGAAGTAAATTGTTTCTGCAGTAGCAGAAGGAAAATGCTGACCCAGAGTGTAACAGGGATACTGCACAGGGTTATGACACTGCTGAGCAGGGAGGGCACAGGGTGATGGGGTGTGACCTATGTATGGCTCAGATGTAGCTGGGACATGCCATGTCCCTTGAATTCTGCAGTGCTCTCCTCAGCATCTCCAGCAGGGTTGAGACTGGTCCCAATGCAGCATCAAATTGCCCCAGGCAGCTGAGGGCCTTCCTACAGCCAAAGGTTCATCCCTGCACATCGTCTGAGCGGGTCTCAGGAGCAATTCCCAGGAGCACTGTAGATACTATGTTATATGACAATATGGCATCATAAGAATCTACATCTAATAGACATCCCCACCTAAGCCTAGTAGAATTGTAAACTTAAAAGGACTTACATAAAATACAAAAATATTAGTTTGGATACTGTTAACATGTCCGCCTGTTGCATGGAATTTGCCTTATTAACAGAATTTTCTATAACTGTCTGAAGGAGAAATTCATAAAGCGCTACACACCGAAAAAAGCCGAAAACATGACTCACCTCTTTCTCGGCATCTTCCAGTTTCTTTTTCTTGCTCTCGGGCATCAAATCATCTAGCCAACTGAGTTCCCGCTTAGTGAAAAAGAAATCCATGAGTTTTCGGACAAATACCAAAGCTAAGACCTGTAAAGATATCAATTCAAAGAATTGGGAAATTAAGCAAGTAAAACTGACAAATATGCTTGTATAGGAATACTTTTCAAAAGTGACTTTGGATAGGCCAACAGCTGGTTTTCCTTTGTTCAGATGAAGTATGGCTTGAAGCATTTAACAATCACTGAGGTCAGTAGATATCTTCTATTTTCAATCAGTGAAATAATCAGAGAGAAATCACTTAAGCAGTGTAATAGATTTTTCTTTTATTTCCAGCAAGACACAGAACTGCCAGTAAAGTTCCTCAGTGCAATGAACATTCCTCCTTAATGAGTGAATGTTCGTTCTGTAAAATGATTAAACACTACTGATTAAATAAAACCATCAAATGAATTTTCATAGAGATATTTTTAAGTATAGAATACAGTTGGGCTATCCACACATAAAAGCAGAGTGCAACCTAGACTCAAACTAAAGGTTATATGTAGAATTTTTACTTAATACGATATGTATTGTCATTGAACATTGAGTTGAAGCAATATTGTAATTACTGGCCTACAATTAATTTCTTTCTTCAATAATAACTATCCACAAGTGAAAAGAAAAGGGATTTTTAGGGGAAATAAAAAATATTTCATACCATCATAGGAAAAACAATGGCAGCTCTTGAAACCTTTATAATCCACAGAAGCACAAGACAACTCAGCTGAATTACAGTGAAGAGATGGACCTTTCTAAGAGGAACATGCCTCAGATAAATAAAATCTGGCTGGTGCTTTGCAGGCATCCAGAATAACTTTATCCTGTCAAAAAGCTGAAAGAGAAATTTTAAAAAGTTTACATCAAAATGAGCTGTAGGATTGTCTATGCTGACATTCACACACTGCCTAAGAGATCCTGAATATCCTAAGAATCTGGCTTGTTATTCTAAAGGCAAAAAAGCAGAAGTTCAGGAGCACAGAAAAAGACTACCTCAGTTACAATCATGAGGCATGAAACCATACTAGTTTAACAGTGGTAAAGGACTCATCTTCTCTCTGGATGAGCCACCAGAGTAAGAATGAGAATCATATTATTTAAATAAAGTTTAATTATTTGGTTAGTCATACTTCTTAAGTTCCTTTCAATTTTAATACACACTCGTATATCTATTGCGGATGTGCCAAGAGATTGGATTCTGCTGAATTACACTCTGTATAGTCATACTCCAGGAAACATACTATTCATAACTGCATAATATGCTATACACTAAGAAAGTAGTTACTTTAAAATAGTACTGCTAAGATTTCAAGTCAAGAACTCTTTAAGTTAGGCAAAGTCAGACTTCAGGGTAGATGTGAATCAATTGTGAATCAAACTGAATGGAAGCTGGTTGATCCTGGTGGGCATACACACTATTATATTGCCCTTCTAATACATTCTAAACTTCTGTTTTTCAACAACAGAGCTCTGCATCCTTTAGCCCACAAAGGCTGAGCTGATCACAGAGGGATCTGTCTTTTATCTCCTGCGGATGAAACTCCTTTTGTTTGTTTGTTTTTTTGTTTTTTTTTTCAGTTTACTTCACCAGACACTTTAACCCAGGCTGTTTTCTTTTCCCCATTGCACTGTCTTCACAAAACCAGGGAAGAGGGGGGAAAAAAAAACAAAAAAACAAAACAAAAAAAAAACCACACCACCAAAAAAACCCCCACCCAACCAGAAAGCCAACTGCCATGCTGTTAGGAATGTACACGAGAATGTTCTTGTTTTTCAGACCTATTTGGCTCCATACTGACCCAAGACTTTGTGTCAGCTGCTATGGCATAGTGATGATGGTGATGCACCATTTCTCCCTGCATGAATGAGCTGTGCTATATTCACAGTTTTCAGGAATTTCAGGAATTTTTATTGAGCATGTGCAAACTGCATTTTTTAAAGGCTTATACTTTGGCCAGATTTGAGCAGATTTCTTTTTCACAGAAACAGCAAAAAGCACATCCTCCCACAAAAGCCATCTTATCAAATCTCAATTCCTTGTCTCAGCTTGGGGAAGGGAGGAAGATGCTATCACTTTTCCAAGTAAAGATAGCCAGATTTTAGAATGTCTTAAAAACACTCCTCAATAGTGTACTTTCTTGTCCCCTTGTTCTGAGATACAGCTGAACCAAATTAAGTTGAAATTATCTAAACCTCAGTAAAACCCAAACTGCACTTCTTAGAATATCAACCCAAATGATAAGAGCTAGGCAAAGTTATAAAAGAAGAGTCTCTGAATAGAAAATACCAGTCAAAAAACAAGAGGTGTTGCCAGCTTTGCCCATAAATAATAGGTTAAAAAAGCAAAACATTTTAAACTTGCAATCAAAAATTTAAATACAATGAAAGACACATTTTGGCATTTTCTTTTTGTCATGTGATTGCTGTTTCTCAATTGTCTTGGAAGGTATATCAATACTTCAACTTTCAATAACAAACAAAGGCACACTTGAAAATTTGAACTAAAATATTTGACACCATGCCATTTAACACTGCAGTCATCCACGAGAAATAATAGGTAGGATACCATTACAAACCCTGATATGAATGCTGGAGAGTGCCTGGCTTCTGCCAGGGGCTTGTACTTAATGCCACTGCAGGAGTGCTGCCCTTCCGCTAGACTCTCCCTTCATCCATCCCTGAGGCCAGAAATTAATAGCATGGGACTTGCAACAGTTCCACTTCCCGGTCTGGGGCATTTATTTGCACAGGAAATACCTTCAAAATCTCAGGTATGTTAGTTTTAGGGCAAGTTAGCCAAAAGCCTCATATAGGCAAAGTTCAAGATCAAGTGTACCACTACAAAGGCACTAAATTGGAAGCTGAAAAGGCAGCAGGCAAACAAGTGAGCAGGGAGGCAGGGGAGAGGGAAGAGATCCTGATAGTTTGTTACTCAGTTTTTAGTCTCAGCCAAAATTCCCATGATAACAAGGGAGAACAGAGCACATTACCTAAAGGGAATACTCTATTTAGAGGGAATCCATTTTCCTTTTTAAGTGAGACACTTTCAAGAATTTAAGGTTGGCAGCATTCCTTTAAGATTATACACAAAAGATATTCAAAAAAATATAATAACTACATATAAAAGCATCATCAGTAACACACTCTTCATACATCCATTTTACCTGAATTCCCTTTAGAGATGAAGCACCCATGTAAAGAAATACTCCATAAAGTACTGGCATAGGAATAAACTGCACAAACAAGCAGAGAAAAGGAAGAGCATATTAAATACCATTTAACAATTTAAAATGCTTCGAGAAAGACATTCTAAACAGTTGAAATTCAAAGTGCCATATGCCTGCATTAATCAGACAAGTTGTAAATTCAGAGTCACTCAATTACAAATTAATAATGATTCTTAGAGTATAAAGCAAAAAAAGTATCTGGCTCTATTGTTTTATTTCCCTCTCATGGACAGTTATTACAATATATTTTATTCACTAATAATGAAATTAACAGAACTATATGAAAAAATGAAAGCGTTTGATACATACTTTAATTCTTTACTCAGAAGATTGCTCAGGAGAACATCTGAACACTAAAGCTACAGTCCTCAGAAAAATGTTCCAAGACACACACAAAATACTTCATACTGCTAGAAGAAATGTTCTGTACTGTAAGCATTTAAAAATGGATTAATTACCTCTGTGGGATGATTTTGTAAGAGACTGTTTTAAATGTTCAGGCTCTCACTGTGTAGGTAAAGGAATATTTACATAGCTAAGTATCTGTTTTAAATACTAAATACACAAGACACATGTTCTCTATGTTTTCAAAGTGAAGGTTTTATGATATAATTGTTCTTGTAATAATTGATATGCTTGTACTGGGAAGTACAAGTTCTAAGGGCTCACTGCCTTCACTGGGACAACAGGAAAGTCTAAATTCTGGTCTTACTGAAGCCAGTGGCAAAACTCACTGACTTCACAGAGACCAGATAATTCTTTAAAACAGTATTATGTATATAGATGGTACTATATATGCATATAACTAGACACCCAGTTTCAGGACACCGGTGAGCTCTGTTGAGCATGCAGGCAGCATGAGAGAATTTTCATGTTCATTACCAAGAAATGAACCATAAAACTTGTCTTGGAACTGTGAAAATATTTTTAAATTATCCAGAAATCACAACATGTTTTTAAATTTTCTAAATAAATTTACTTATTGATATAACTTAGCAAGACTTTTTCCTGATAATTTGCCATTGTCCCAAAATCCAGACAAAGGCTGAATCTTCATGTGCTACAGGTCAATGGCAGAACTCCCTTTGACTTCAGTCAGGCCAGATTTTCATTAAATGGTTTTTGTTTCAAAACTGTTAGATGTCCCTAGCCATTTTATTATTCAAAATTAGAATTTCACTATAGATTATCACTGTGGAACATCATGCTAGTTAGTAATGCGGCTGGAAAGGGCACTCATTAAATAATACAGTAACAACAGGGAATTGTTCAGTGCAGTGCAGCATTCTTTAGCTTTTCCTTACTTCCCCAAATAAAAGAATGTCAAATTACCTTCAGGATACTTGTCAAAAAGACAGATGAGCCCATAAGGATAAAAATCATGAGCCCCGTGACTCTTTGCTCCCGGATCCCAAGAAATTTTGGCTGCTCCCCTGGAGCAGAGCACTCCGATTCCAGTTTTAAGCTATTCACATGGGAAATAGAGAGTACAGTGGCTGCCACAAACCATGGCAATCCCATAATAGAGCACACTCCAAGCATGACTGCCACCATGAGCAGGTCGAGATGGTATCCACATCCTTTCTGTTAAAAAAAGTAATGACAGCAAGAAGATATAAAGTGACATCTGAATTAAGGAGAACACTCCTGTCAGGCATTCCTAATGAACAGTAAGAGACAATTAAATTTTTGACTTATAGGAAGAAATTGCTTTCTCCTATGTGTTATCCAGGTTGGGTCACTAGTGATGGCAAACTGGTTAGCTAAGGAGAATTCCTACTAGTTCCCAATAAATGCTTAATATTATTAGACTCATTCCAGTTATGAGTTATGCATGCATATCATAAATCCACTGTTTAATGGGTACCAAATAGCTTTCCTGCTTATAAAAAACATACCAGTAAGACAACGGAAAACCCATACATGTTCTGTTTTAACTAAATCTCTTTTGTGAATAACAGTAAGCAGGACATCCAGCTGCACTGACAACTTTCCACTGCACTAATCTGAATAGACCTCCCATCCATCCATACACAGGAGGCAGCAAAATATGTATTTTGATTCTTTCCTACACAAAAAAATCTTAAATTCACATTTGGAAAGTCACTTTATGCTACCCTTTTGAAGTTTTTATAGATGGTAAGCATGGGATAGTAACAAGTTTTCACCAATGTACTTATCTAAGAACAAATAACTACAAATTAAGATAAATTAAACTATAATTAAACTATAAAATAATATTCATCATCAGGTACTTTTTTAATCATCAGGTACTGTTTTACTGGTTTCCCTATTCAATTTAAAGGTAGTATCATAAACATTCATATGTAAGTCAGTACAAAACCTTTGGTTTTGGATCATCTCTCTATTAGTCAAATACGCTGTAAATTTACCAAAGGGATGATGTTGCTTTGCTTTTGTAGTAGTGGATAAAACCCTTTAGTCAAATCTTACACACATCTGAAAACCTGCAAATACAGCCTGCGCTTGAAAATTACCAATTATCTGCATCGAGCTTGGTCATATAGATAGCTGTTACTATAGCTGAGAAGGGTATTTCTTATCAATTTTATTAAGTATCCAGGACCACCACACAGCTGCAAGCAGGAGCTCAAGCTACTTCCCTTTAGAAAGTCAGGTAGTTAATTATCTCCAGAAAATTTTGCAATATGGCAACAAATCCAATATCATGGTCTGATGAAACAGTGATGTTCATGCAAACAATGTGAATATGTTGAACCATAATTTTGCCTGTAAACCCATGCAAATGCCTTTTTGACATAAAAAAAGTAACTAAACTAAACTTGGAAGGGTTTGCTACAGAGACTGCCAAAAGCTGAAATGTGCACTACTCAGAATTTGCTATGGGAAGTATAAAAAAAGAGGGGAAAACGAGTTGGAAGCAAACAAATCATTTCTTTCTGAAGACAACTTTTACTTCTAAAATGGGAAGCGTCTGGGTTTATGAAAATGTAAGCTACATATCAAAATGAAAATGCCATCTTATTTGCTTACATTATTTAAAAAGGGGAATTCATATAAAGTAAATGAAAAGAAGCAACTCTAGCAACCTTCCCTCACTCCCCAGAAGTGCTTATGAGTCTTATCTCCAAGACACATCTTGGCAAATTCAGAGATGTGTAAAACACAGATATTAGTTACATGCACAATGCACTCAAAGAAGGAGTTTAATTCTAAATCCTAACAGAGACACCTTTTTTTACCTTCTGACACATTTATGAGGAATGTATCTGCTAATGCATACAGAATCCGAGAGCATTTCCTCACATTCATACATGATCTAAGGAACCTGACATATGGGAAGAAAAGGAAGCATAGCAACAGGTGATGCTACACCAGACCCCAGCAAAACTAAAACGCAGCAAGACAAGGGGGCAGCCAGGAGGACCATCTGACTCCCAGATGCCAGTGCTGAAAAAACACATTCCAAAGCTTGGCAGCAAATTCCTGCATCTGTCAAGTTAACCACATGCAATGCTATAGATTGACATGAAGAGCCAGGCTGACAAAGAGGGCAAAAAAAGAACATATCAAATGTCACAATCATCCAAGAAGAGGCAGTGCAAAGTGAAGGTTGCAAATGCATTTGCTAAAGCAACTTGGGATTGGATTGCTGCTTATTAAAAGTATGTCAAAAAAAGCCTAAGCTTGCTGCATATACATGTACAGAAACCTGCTGCTAGATTTTGCCCAACAGTTTTTCAGAGGGGTGATGTCCCTTTTTCTCTCTCCATCTGTAGGCAACTAAAGTGTTAGAGAACAGAGCAGGAAGCTGTCCTATGTTGTTTTAAGAACCCATTGTGCCTCTAAAGCTCAGCTTTAGTCTTCCTCCTTCTTTAAAACAGGAAGGGCATAGAATGGATGGGTAGAACCACAGAGAAGGATGAAGAGAGGAAAAAAAACTTGTGTTACAAAATAACCCCTGAATAGTTTTTCAAAATCCAATCCAATAGGACACTGTCAATATCTGAAGAGGCAATGGTACTTAAGGAAATTATTAACTTCCAGATTTTTTTCTTTAGGTGAATAGGTGTCATCCTTCTAATAAAGCATAAGGACAGCACTTTCTTGGTTCAGAATCTCTGTTCCAAATCACATTCAGAAAGACTTCTGTAAGGCAGTCAATCACTGACACAGGTACTACACAGATCAATAGAGAAAAAGCGTAATGATTTAAAGGGTTGCTATGTGACATATAATAAAATAGCATACTCAAGCAGATGAAGGTACATTATACAACCTGAAGCAGAAAACGACAGTGAAAATATAACTATTTGACTGAGTACCTTTAGTTTGTGTTCTTTTCTATTGATAATGACAGCTGTGATCTGCTGGTCCATAAAGATAAGGATAGTACAAAGCAGGGCTGGAATTACAGCAGCTATCACTGTCCACCAAGGATTAGGTCCCAAAGGACTAATAAACCAGCCACGATCATCTCTGGTGGGCTATAAAAACAGAGTCATGCACGACCAGTCAGAACTCTGAGGATTATTTACATTTCAACTTCACAAGAATACATACAAAAACATTACTAGGGTATGATTTCCTTTAAAATGAATCTATGTAAGATCACAGAAAAATGCTAAACTTCCTATGACACCAAAAATAAAAGTTACCTATAATAAAATCATCTGGGTTATTACAGACTTGGTTGTATTTGATATGCATTTGGAAGGAGCCTAGAACACTGCAGTAGTCTAGGATTTGCTTAATTTGAGCTAGGTTGGTCCTCACACAGAAGACATTAGGAGCATGAAGGGGTCTGATGGGAGAGGCTCATTACATGGGCCACTAATCAGAGAGGTTGCATAGTACTCAGTAAACACAAAAAAAATCAGAATAGTATCACTACTCCCTTATGATAAAAAATGTAATAAACCCACTAGAGCACACTACTTCAAACTAATAAGGCAGTGCAATCTATCAACAAATTACCTTAAAAGCATTTGGAACCTGAAGTTTTGGTGATGGAATCCCAATGGCATAGTCAATTAAAACCATGGACAGAATAGTGAGAAAGACAGCAAAATCGCTGACAACAGATCGTACCTACAATTATTGAGAGAAAACAGCAATTTTAACTAAAACATTCATGTGTGATTTAGCATTTATTTTTCTTCACTCTTCTAAGCCGTTTTGTGCTTACAGCTAAACCATGCTTATTCTGATACAATTTTCTAAGAGAGAAAAGATGCGGTGTCCACCAGCAGTTAATTCAATTTGCAATGCAGATGGCATTCATGCTTACACATGACCAATGACAACTTTTGAATTAAAAAAAATGGCACACACCTTTGTTGGGAAGTATCGGCTAGTTTTGAACTGCTTCAGTGTGGATGACAGTGTTACTGTAGAAAAGAACAGGATGACAGACCAGAAGAGGACATCTGGGACATAAGGGCCATGATGACCACAGGCTCGTCCAACAAACTCTCCATGAAACTTTTTACATTCCTATCAGGGAGAGCAAAGTAGTATTGTTCTGAAAAATATCCATGCTTACACTGGTATTTTCTTTCTAATTTCCTTCCTAAATTGCAAACAAGATTTATAGATATTTATTCCTTTAAAAATTAAAACTCCTAATGTTTTTATCCAGTCTGTATGGAAAACTCTCAAACCCTCCAAAGAACCTCTTTTTTAACCAGTATTAAATGACAAAGTCACTAAGACATACAATAAATGAAGTCATTAATATAAAACCAGACTTATTTCAATCAGAACAAGTACACTTATTTATTTTCTGTTTACACACACAGACTTCCACTTCCTAATTCCTTCCAAGAGAGGAAAGTGAAGTTCAACAGCTACCAAGAGAAAGGCTGCTCCTGGTTCTCAAGAACTGATTTATTATTATAATTTCATAGGTCAATCAATTCAAGAAAAAGATACTTAGAATGTACAGAATTAGCCTAAAAGGAGATGAATATATTTAATACCACATGGGGGCAGCACATTCCACAAATTATCTTTTTCTTAAAAAAGCGATCTTATAAAATGCAGCAAAACCCCAAATCTATAATATTAATCCTATCCAATATAATATACAATCAAATATGCAGACACAGTACCAAACATGTCTAGTAATTCTCCAATACCTTCCTTAGTTGCTTAAAATCACACTTGTTCCAAGGTAACAAGCAGAGAAATAAAGAGATCTAAACATGTGAGTGAGGTGCAAGCTCTGGACTCGCCATCCTTTCCTTCTCCTTCTCAAATCCCTCCACACACATTAAGTAAAAACAAATGCAGCACCCAGAATCAGAGATTGCAGGCAGCAATATCCTGCCAGATCAGGATCTTTTAGCATCAAATGAACTGGGTCATTGGCTCATCAGACTCACGTCACAATACTGTGGTTTGACATGTTATGAGAAACTATGGCTTTGAACAAAGGCTGGCTTGAGGGGAGAAAAAAAAAAAACAAAAAAAAAAAAAACAAAAAAAACCCAACAAAACCCACCACACACACCACACAAAACCAACCCAAAACAGTTGCTATTAGATGACTGTGAGACAAAGAAGTAGAAAAACTTTTTATACTGGTATAGCAGTAAGCCTGGGATAAATGTGATGCACTTCTGACTGATGGTTTTAGACGTACATATATTTAGATGTTTAGAATAAAGGTTTTAGATGAGGAAAAAAAACTCTCAAGAAATCCAGAAGAAATTCTCAATATTCTGGGACATCAAAAAGAAAACTTGTCCTGGCCTGACCTTGATGTTGGCACAGCACACAGATAAATTTCACCATATATCTAGTGAAAAGGATTTTGTCACCATCAGAATAAACTCTTTGCTCACACTCATTGTGTCCCAGATAGCAAAAAACAATGTTGGTCCTACTGTTGTTTTTAAGAGAGAGTGTCAATCTAGATCTTCAGAAACTTGAAACTTTTAAATCAGACACAAGAAACAACAGGAAGAAATGAGCAGTAAAAAAGACAGTGGGATGAGACTGACCAAATATTCAGAGACAACTAGGTCTAATCTTTTTACTGCAATTTTCTATACCAGGAGGATTGAAGCTTCCTGATGATGCTTGTAAGAAATACATGAAAGTATGAAAAATTTCAGTTATTTCTTTGACAACTATAGGGACTCTTGGGAAAAGTCAGTCAGCTATATTGCTACCCATGTAAACTCAAGTTTCAGTAATAAGCTTTTACAGAAGTTTTAAAGGGTTTTATATAATGCAGGCAGTATTTTACATTTATAGTTATTTTAAATCTCCTCAGCTGCAAATGTACTCTGAAAAACACTGTCAGAGATCTGAGAAAGTGAGAGGAGGAGTCTGCCCCTGCACAGATGCTCTTAGAGTGTGCTGCAATTTTGAGAATATTCATTCTGGATTGCTGGAATCCCTCAGGCCAGCAGTTCTCAACTTTCTCTCTGCTGTTGCCACACCAACAGAGTTAAGGAGCAGTCCTTGCTATCAAGACAGAGCAGCCATGGAAGGCAGCTCTTCCTTAACTCATGATAGGAGGGCAACAAAAAAAATTTGAAAGAAAGCACAGTATCTACTGGAGATGGTCCCCTGGACTGGCTTTTAAGCATTTCATTTGGTTGTGCCTACAATGGGGCTGATTCAGTTATATTTTTGAGACAACCCTTCATTTTGGTGTCTTTTGCACTGAGTTCTCTTTGACTGTGTAATGAAATGATCCATTTGCGAGAAGAAGTGGTGACCTAATCTCAATATGACGTTTTAATCAAGCTGTACATGTTGCTTTAAAGAAGGCAAACCTGAAGCAGTAAATCCTTTAAACCTAGAAAAGTGTACCCTTTAGAAACAAGTTACATATCCATGCAAGCTCCTAAAATTCTTTGTAGCTTGTTCCCTCCACCCAATCCCCCAGAAAAAAAGTTACACAACTAAGACATACATAACACTGAAGGCCTACTGTTAGAACCATAGAATCATTAAGGTTAGAAAAGACCTCAAGGATCATCAAGTCCAACCGTCAACCCACACCACCTAACTCACTAAACCATGTCCCTAAGCACCACATCTACTACGTAAGAGAGAAATTTGGTCACTGAACAGAAGATGTTACAAAATTTCCCCCATTCCTCTCCTATATAGCCCAAACAGCTGTAAGAATGTTTTAGGGAAAATAAATGCTTTTGAGTCTTTCTACACAAGGGAACTTTGGTTTTGCCATCTGGCAGAATTTAGGACAAATCCGTTGTCATTTGACAGGTTTAGACTTAATCTCAAAACTCCTGTGCTAGTGTGTCAAGAAGTTTCCAAAGCAGGGCACAAAATGCACATACTTGCTTTAATGTGTACTCTCAAGGGCTGCAAAATGCTTACAAAGGAGATAATGCTACAAAATCTCTGTTAATCTTTGCTCAGTTAAGTATATTTCATGCTTTATTTGAAAAAATATGATCATAAAAAACATGGCATTTTTTCAATACATTTGCTGCAGTAGGAGGGACAAAATGATTTATGCTTATGCCTTTAGTTATTAAGTTCCAATATTTCACTTACTGACACAGTTAGGTTCTCCCATGGCACATCGGATGCAGATATATTGTAGTCCTGCCAGTATCCTAAGGTTTTATTGCTAGGATGTTCTGGTTCGACACAACTGCATCTGAAAAGACAGAAGAGTATGTTTTTCCTTAATAATAAAAGATTTATCAGATACTAATCCAAATTAGTATCCAAATGATATATTGAAATTGTGCTCTACTTTGCCAGATAATTTTAGTTCAAATGAATTCAGTAAATGCATGCTTTGAAGCGGTTTGTAGTTCAGTAGTAGCTAGTGCTATTACTAGAGTATAATTTGCCGTGAGGTGCATACGCATATATAGTACGTAACGTGACATATTAAACCACTGTCCACAGCCAGTTTTTCTACCTATTTTCCTCCTCTTCTATTGATACTTCCAAGCACATTTCCTAATACTGAGAATGTGCCAGTCCTGTTCCACCGCCTTATACCTAACACTTCCTTGCATAGGGATTAGATGCAATGTACAGTTCCAGGCTGATCCATTTCTCAAACACAAATTGTCTGTATCCTCTTTCTTTCTCTTTACCAGAATGCCTTTGCATGCAAGACTGACAAACTAGCCAGTGAACTGTCAGGGCTCTGCAAGATCACCAGCACCAAAGGCTCTGTGAAGTTCTGCATCCATTGTTTTTCTTTTCCCCACAGCTACTTTAAAAGCATGCTTTTCATTTTAAATTGAGTATTTTAACATACAAAAAGTGATGAGGCAATGCGGGAGGACAATACTGCAAACAGGCAATTTAAAATCAAAATTAAGTCTTTAAGGCCTCTGAAACAACTGCGGGAGGCTTTTTCTTTGACAAAGCCTTCAAAATATGCAGGATACTCTGTATGTTCCAAGATGTCAAGTGTGTTTTCCAGTCTTTCTTAAATTAATCCCATTTTAAAAATCTATAGTACTATCTATCCTGCTAGTATTTTAACATGCTTACGATGGCTGTAAATAAATTCTGTACTCTCCTTTCTGATGAAGTTTTCAGGAGTAGCTGGGGACAGGATAACATCTGACTATAGAGTGGAGAGCCATTAAGCATACATTTGCATTCCAGTTCTAGAACAGTTATCAGTTTATTCACTTAGCTATGCCATCTATTTTCTCTGTGGCTGTTTATCTTTCCACAAAATGACAATTCTCATCTAGATTTGTAATATTTTCTACCATCTACACGATGAGTACAGAATAGTGCCACTGTACTTCATTTACAATACTATACATGTGACAACAGCTGCATTTAATATATAAATAAAGAGAGATGCAGGTTGTCTTTGTGCAACTCCTTGCTTTTATTTTAAACGCAGCTATTTATAAAAGAAAGAAAAAACCCTTACAGCCAATAAACAAAAAAGCAAAAAACAAAAAAACCAAAACAAACAAACAAAAAAAAGCACCAGCGTTCAATGAAATAGAGGGCCTGAGCCAAGTCACTGAAGTAGAGTGGATCTTTCAAACATATTTAATATGCTTTGGATCAGGCCCCAAGTGCAGAATGAATGCGTGTTCAACGCATAGTTTAAAATATTACAAGATGGGTTAAATGAAGCGCATCACTACTAGTGAGCTACGGTAGCGTAATAAAGTCAGCAAAGGGGATGTCTGTGTTATTGCCAGGGAGTATTTGATGTTCATGCAGCAGAGGTGGCTCGTTCCGGTTACTGCTGTTTCCTATGAGCACAGGAGCTCCATCGCTGATCGCAGACTGGCCAGGCACTGGGCCATGGCCCATGGGGGTTTGATTACGGTAGGCCAAGGTGACGTGGGCTGTTCAATCACAGTCACTTTCTCACTAGAAGGGAAGACTGTGCATGTCACCAACACCACATGGTACAGCTGTACTTGCTGCAAACTGATGAATTACATTTAAAAGTTAGACAAGCCAAAATTTCTATTTCCTTAGTGAGAAATGTGACAATTGAAGTTCTAGTTTAATACAGCTCAAGTAATTCACCTCCAGATGAGATCATTACCCTCTTTATTTCTATATCAATACCAGTTGGGCCTTTTCCAGGTTTCACAGGCACTACTGATGGCAGATTGTTCATCAGCAAGTAAGTGACTTGTGCAAACTCCACCCATGCAGACCAAAACCACCCTGCACCCAGCTTTTGTCACTGAATGGGGGCAGAATAACTGTAAAGATCAGATCCTGCTTTCTACTGAGAAGATCATTATCTAACATTATATTATTTTCAATATTATATGTCTTTTGGCAACACTGACATTTTGATGTGACACGGTATCATGGTAAAAGTCTTCCAGACCCTGCTAATTCCTTAACATTGTATAAATGTGAGATAGTAAGATACTCCCTGTCCAGCCCAAAAAAACACAATTAGAGGTACCATTCAGTGACAGAACATAAAAGATTATCTACCAAAATGTAACATTTCATTACAGATGTAATTGCTTCAATGATGACTATTTCCCACCACAACTGACCTGCAAGGAGAAACACATTAGTGAAATAAGGCTTCTTACTTTAATCTTTTAAAACTTTTAGTCTCTTTCATTGTCATATTTTACTTTGAGAGGTCAGCTCTCAGAAGAGAAAGTAAAATACACTGAATTGTTAACCACTAACTCATCCTCTTATTTTCTTGATAAAATATTACTCAGAAGCCTGAAATAAGTATAAATGTATTGCCTCTTGGGAGGTTTCAAATACTCTTAAGTTCTTGTGAAGTTTAAATTGCTGAGCACTTGCCCACTACAAGAGATTTGTGTGGCATTTATGCTATTACCAATGAGCAAGACACCATACATACACCTATATTTTCTAAGCAACATATTCCACTCCAAACATAGTACCACCTGAGCAACGCCCTCCCATGCCTTTTTGTGACAAGGAGTCAGCAATCATCTTTGTTATGCTAAAAGATACAGAATGATACACATGATGATCTTTCACATGGTGAGGAAGAAGCCACTTTTCTCATGGCTAGAACATAGGCAGGGAAGAATCTGACACTGGTTGTGGTGGCAAAAGCATAAGTGTCACTACAGTGAAAATAAAAAAAGAAATAGCTGCTGCCAATCTCACAATACACCCATTTAATCACACTGATGACAGAACAATTATTTTTGCGTCTTTACACTTTTGGCTGCTGCAGGATGTTCTGATCACCTGGTAGCAATTCAGATGTCTAAACATGGGTCCCTATATATTCCATTCTATCTATGACACACCTGATGGGTTGGCACATACATGAGATTGTCTACGGTGACTCATGCCTTTGTTTTCACAGCAGCTGGAGGCTAAGAGATCTAAAAGGGCACTAGATACCCAGTCACAGGTCACTCCCTTCTGTATTCAAAATGTCTGTATTTTGCAGCTAGGCAGAAATCAGTGGTGCTGGCCTTTTTCTAGGGTACTTAAACATCTAATATAGACTATTACAAAGTGGCTGACAAATCTGAGATAGAACAATAAACCATTGCAGACAAGACAGTCTTCAGGAAACTGCAGGAAAGCTGTCATAAGATCAGAACTGACAAAAGGAGAAAGGTTCTGTACTAAAACCACTTTAATCCTGACTGTAAATTTGTTTACTGCAAAACAAGAAACTTATTCCCTAGGCCTATTTATTCAACTGAAATTGATCTGGGTCTGGCAGGGGAATCCCTTTAATTTCCACCTCTTACCCCCAATTCTTCAGGCTCATTCTTCACCCTTTTCTTCTCTTCAACCTGTCATGCATGCTCTCCTCCCCACACAGACTTTAAATGTGCAGCATAGTGCTAGTCCATCCTGCTGCCACCACAGCCAGTATAAGAGCTTCAAACAAGAGCCTTGTACAGTGTTTTTGTGAGTAAATAAAACACACTTAAATGATGCGGCTCCTTTGAAAGCTGCATGGCCATTCATCTCAAGCAGTCACAATTTTTCAGTATATTGTTTTCAAGACTAGGAGACACTTGCTATTGATGATTTTATCCAAATCATAAGGCACTGTTTTGGAGCTCCTATTTTTCCCACATGCACCTATTGCAAGCTACACCTATTTATACTAGCTAAGGATCTGATCTATAAAAGATGCAACTGCAGCTTCTTCATGATTAGCCAACATATCATTTCACCCTCCTAGAAGAGCAAAATATCTTTCTAGCTCACTTAAGACAGAGAATGAGATTTGCTCAATATGAATATCTATATTATTAAAAAAACAACAGGCAAGCATGACAAATAAGTTACAAAATGTGCTTGTTTAAACAATATGTCTCACTGAATATCAGAGCACATATTTCATAATATGAGTAGGAAGTTTTTTCCCCAAGACACAGCGTATGCTCTACAACTGTGCTGTGCACTGATCACGTAACAGAGACAGAATAAGATGGTATGAAATGGAAGGTAACATCAATGATTTTGTTTAAAAGTAAGGTGTTAGAATATATGCATACATATTCTTTATGTTGCATTTACAAGATTGAAGGAAAGCACATCAATAGCAGAATGCTATCTATGTTTAGGTTGTCCCCAAATATACCATTTTCGTGTGAATTAGGAGCACTTGCAGAGGCCTTCTGTTTGTCTAATAACTACTATGGGAAGGGATGATGACTTCTCTGCTGTCCCCTACCTACAACACCTGTATATCCCTGGCATTATATTTACCATACTCCTTCTCATGTCAACATTCATAACGATGAAACCAAAGTCTCAGTGGAGAAAAGACTGGAAAGAAAATAATTAATACTCCTGGGAAATTGACTTGTCAGTTAAGTTCTATTCTCAGTATCACAAACCCCTTTCAAAGCACAGCTGTCATGGCAAGACAAGATTTTTTCTTCATTTATTCATGAGATCTGCCATCCTGAATTAGACCATTGAGTCATTAAGTTAAGTAGCCCATCTCTGACAATCACGAACATCATCAGGCATCCACGTATATTCTCCAAAGTCAGAAGTCTACATCGTTTAGTTGGTGAAGTTGAGGAGGAAAACAGAAAAGCCTATAAAAGTACCTAGGCAATGCACTCAGCAGCACAACAATTTCACACATATAGAGAGATAAATTGGGGAGGGGGATGACTGATGTTAGGGTGAAGAAATCTCAAAGAATCAGGTTTCTTTGGA